TTTAGGGGTGTTACATACATATTCACACAGAAGGACCTCAACATGAGGCAAAGAAGGTGGCTTGAGCTAGTGAAAGATTATGATTGTGAGATCCTTTATCATCCGGGGAAAGCCAACAAGGTAGCAGATGCACTTAGTAGGAAGTCTTCTGCAACAGTAATGTCCATGATGGTAATGGATCCAAGGCTGAGGAAGGAAATTGAAGATTTTGAGTTGGAGATTGTAGGTGGGCGACTAGCAGCTATGACAGTGACTCCATCAATATTTGAGGACATGGCTATGAAGCAAGAACTTGATCCCGAGTTAGTTAAGTTGAAGGAGTGCGTCAAGGAGGGAAAATGTCCTGAGTTTCGTTTGGATGAGAATGGGAGATTATTACTCCAAAACAGGTTGTGCATCCCAGACATCGAGGGGTTGAGGAAGCAGATTATGAAGGAGGCTCATGAGACACCATTCACTATGCATCCTGGTTCGACCAAGATGTACCACGACTTGAAGGAAAGCTTTTGGTGGTCAGGGATGAAGAAAGATGTTGCAAAGTTCGTTCAGGCATGTTTGACGTGTCAACAAGTTAAGGCTGAACATCAAAGACCAGGTGGAGAACTTCAGCCTATCCAGATTCCAGAGTGGAAATGGGATGAGATATCAATGGATTTTATTATGGGTTTGCCAAAGACAATTGGAGGTTATGACGCTATATGGGTTATAGTGGACACATTGACTAAATCTGCTCATTTTATTCCAATTTCAGCAAGTATTTCTTTGGAGAAGTTGGCAAAAATATATATACAGGAGATTGTTAGATTGCATGGTGTTCCGAAGAGTATTATTTCAGACAGAGATTCCAGATTTACGTCTCACTTTTGGAAGTGTGTACAACAATCATTGGGCATGAAGTTGAAGTTTAGTACTGCTTTTCATCCTCAGACAGATGCCCAGACGGAGAGGACAAATCAGATTTTAGAGGATATGTTACGGGCATGCGCTCTAGATTTTCAAGGAGGATGGGCAAAATACCTTAGTTTGGCAGAGTTTGCTTATAATAATAGTTATCAAGCAACCATCGACATGGCTCCATATGAGGCGTTGTATGGGAGGAGGTGTAGATCTCCCATATCATGGTATGAAACAGGAGAAAAGAAGGTTCTAGAAGAGGAGTTACAAGGAAGGACTGAGCTGATTGATGAGACCTCAGAAGCTATTATGACTATCAGACAAAGGATAGAATCTGCTCAGTGTAGACAGAAAAGTTATGCAGATGTTCGAAGGAGACCTCTAGAATTTGAAGTGGGGGACTTTGTTTTCGTTAAGATAGCCCCGATGAAGGGCGTGATGCGATTTGGGAAGAAAGGAAAGCTTAGCCCCAGATTCACCGGACCATATGAGATCACTAGACGAGTTGGGAAGGTGGCTTATGAGCTCGCGCTACCTGAAGAGTTTTCTGGTATTCATAATGTCTTCCATGTTTCGATGTTGAGAAAATACTTTGCTGTTCCGGAGCATGTTTTGATACCCCCAACAGTAGAAGTGCAAAATGATTTGTCTTACGAAGAGAAGCCAGTACAAATTCTTGATCGTGAGGTTAGACGTCTTCGGAATAAAGAGATAGCTTTAGTAAAAGTATTGTGGCGAAATCAGAAAGTTGAAGAAGCTACTTGGGAGGTTGAGGATGACATGAGACGTCGTTATCCCGAGTTATTCTAAGTTTCGAGGACGAAACTTTTACAAAGTGGGAGAGGTTGTAACACCCCGATTTTTTTTATGAGCTAGTTATATTAATCAATTTTATTTATTTTAATCAGTTAAATAAGTTCCTTCAATGACTAATGTGATTTATTGTGTGATCACGTGTTGTTCTGGCAAGTAACGTTGACCGGTAAGCTCTAATAATTATAAGTGAAGGAAATAAGTAATGTTTTAAAGCTTAATTAGTTTATTTTGAAATAGAGAATACTTTTAATGTTGGATTTTTTTAAAGGATATTGGGAGCCCAAATCAATCTTAGCCCAATAAGTCTCTTTTAAACTAAATCCCTAGGGAAGTCACGTAATTTTTCTTAGAGAAGCGCCGCTGAAGCTCTCAAAACCTTTTCACCGAAATACTCCTTTTGAACGCCGGAACTCATCTCGTTTATCAAATTGGTCCCTGGTATCATCGGATCTTATCCGGTAAGCTTAATTTTCAATCTTCTATGCTTTTGCAAAAGGTTTTACTCTCCTAATTTTAAATGTACGATCAAAACAAGAGGCTGTTTTGGCTAGACAAATTTCGTTGCTTAGGTCTGGTTCTTTGTATATATATACATATATTTGTATTTGGATTTGGTTTCCGGAGTTTTTAATCTAGCTGAGTTCTTGTCCGTTTGGAATTATGGAAAGTGGAATGTAAGACAAATTAATTTCATTGCTGCTGTTTTAAACGGGTCAGATTTAGTTGTTCGTATCGGTAGTTATTTATGGAGCTTTGATTTAAACATTAATAATAGATTTTGATTATAATATTATTGATTACCCCATTTCACTTTAGTTTTCTGTATTGGGAGAGACAGAGAGCAAGTAAACAACTTCTCAAATAGTTAGATTCCAGTAGAATCATTCCTGTTTGAAATTTTATATTTTCCACTGTTTTATTCATCCAATTCAGCTCGTTCTTCAAGTTCTTTACAAATAAATAAGCCTACGGTATAGCAGCTCATTTTGTTTAGTAGCAGATTATCATAAGTGGCTTAACATCTTGTTCAACAGGAGGAGAATTTAATTGTATTTCTAATATTCCACCTCTATAGTGAGCCACCAAATTGTTTTCCAAGTGTTGAGTCATAAGTAAATGAAGTGTCACTTGAGTCGTATGGATTGAGGCAAAATGCGTTGAACTTAAGTGGTTCTGCAGTTTACTTTAAAAGAACAATTTCTGATTATATTATTATACCTTTATATCTAATTAAAGATTTCAAAGAAAAGTTTACCGGAAGACGTTATCAAGCTGCCACATTTATTGAGTAATTTGGATTCAGCTGTTAACAGGTAAGTTCACTACCATCTGTACATGTTTGTTCAACCAAATGAAAGAAAGAAGTCTGGTTGATTTTTAGTAGATGATTTTAGACTATTTGCTATTATGTGAGCTTGGTGAATTATTTGATGAGTTATTGTAACTGTTGTATTAAGATATGTTTATTATCTAACATAGTTAAGATTTTATCAGTAATTTATTTCAAGATTTTAATGATGTTTTTATTCAAACGTCACCATAAAAAGAACTAATATTTAAAGTGAAAGATTATGTGATATGTATTCGGGAACAAGTTCCCTCAGATATTCAGTTTATCAGTTTTAGAGAGTCCGATATGTTTAGTGGGTCGCTCCCCTGAGCTGTCGGATTGTCGCCTTTGAGTACATATCACGGGCCCACAGTTAAAATTAGCCACAAAGAGTTTTACAGAAAGTTGTTTTGAGATCTCTTTCAGAAAGTTTACAGAAATGTTTTGAGAAAGAAATTTTGGGATCTCTCCAGTAGTTTTGAGAAATTATTTTAGAAAATATTTTCTTTTGGAATCTCTCAGAATTTATTCGAGAAGCTATTTGTTAGTTGTGTGTTTAGTGCATGCTTATAGTCTAAATTTATCTATTGATAAATTAGCATAGACTTCTCAGATATTTTTGTGGGTCCATAGTGACTTACTAAGCGTAAAGCTTATCAGTTTTCTTTCTTCGCATGTATAGATACTAAGGGTAAGGCCAAGGTCTAGGAAGATGATGAGGGAGTGGAACGCGTGCCAAGATGAGTTAACGGGAACAACCTTGGCGGCTTCTAGCTAGTTTTATTTTACTCCAGTATTTCAGTGAGAATAAAAAAAAAATTATTATTACTTTATGTAATTGAGGTTTTGAAGTTTTAGTAAATTCCTGGATCCAGGTGGTTATCACATTTGCTGGTGATAACTAGATTTTTTTGAGTTTTTATTTGGAACTATAATTTTGTTATATTTGAGATTTTTATCAGGGTTATTTCTTAAACAAACGGCCGTTATATTGCAGTTTTTTTTATAGTAGTAAGTTTATGTAATGTTTCGTTTAACCCTGAGAGGGGCGTTACAACGGAGTAGCGGACGACCGTCATTATTTGCTAAAGCTTAACCATCCTGGTAATATGAACTATCTGGTCTATGCTCATTCTATATTTATAAACAAATGATAAAGTATATTGATAAAATATTTATACGACGGACGACCATCATATTACCAAAGTAGAAAAATCTCTGATTTATACGGAGCTGCAACAATGATTCAAAGATTTGTTATTACAAACATTAGCTATCATTGATTTATGTTGGATAAATATTCTAATTTTCATTATGGATTGTGTTGAGACTTGAGATATTAGCACATAATTTTAGTATTTTCTACTTTGGATGAAATATTGTGTTTTATCAGTTTATGTATTGATGTCGTATGCTACTTTTGACTTGTTAAAATCAGTTTTTTTGGATGTTCGGTAGGCCCCTTAAGCTAATACTTTATACGGAATTACCAAGATTTTTTTTTGAATTTTCGGTATAAAACGGTATGAGTTACATACCGTATCGAATTTTCGGTATACCGAAATTCGGTATACCGAAAGTTTCGGTATGGTAACGGTATGACATTTACCAATACCGGATTTTCGGTACGGTATGCGGTATGGCGTTGAAATTTCGGTATACCGTACCGAACCAGCCCTAATCTAGACTAATGAATACTTTTGAGGTGTAGCCTGTACATACCCTCATTATATCGTGAGTCCGCCACTGCGGGTAACGGGACGGGCAGGTATAAATCCATAACCTCCCGATTACCCGTTTACATAAATTGGGTATTCCCTGCTTGCTTGCCTGCCATGTAACCATTACCCCATCAAAACGATTTTCCACGTTTTGACGGATTTTGTTCGATGTGGGTATCATCGGGTCGGTCGGGTTAAATTGCCGTCCATTGGACTATGGAGTACTCCGTAATATTTAGGGAACAACAGTTGGACAAATCGCACTGAAATACCGGAGTACTACGTCGCTAGCGAAGTAGAAAAAAGATGAGCTCAACGCCATTAAATTAAGTAACTCAATTAGTGTGCCTTAGGTTGGACCCAAGCCGCAGCGGCGCTGCCAAAAGAGCCACCGCGTGTCCCAACTCCCAAGCAGTTTGGATGCCGTACGATTGGTCCATTGAGCCAAAAATCACGCCGGAGTAGAACCCTGTAAAACTGCACAGGGAGAGAGAGAGACGGAAAAGAGATATGCCGGGGGAGAGCTCAGGGTACAAAGATTACGTAGCAGGAATGTTAGCCGGAGTTGCCACTGTGCTTACCGGTCACCCATTTGACACAGTCAAGGTATTCCCACCCAATTCACCTTTGTTTCCGAATGTCGTCATTTGCATTTTGTCAGGTAAATCTTCAAAGTATTGCAATTTATATTTATCAGGTAAATCTCCAGAAACATAACACTTCTAGCAATGGTATAAAGTACAAGAATGGATTGCATTGTGCTGCTAGGATATTGAAGGCCGAAGGAGTATGGTTCTATCTTTGTTTTTTACATTTTAGATCCTATTCTAAACTACTCTGTATTTTTTGGTGTTTGCGGATTATCTATGTTTATTCCCTTTTGTACATTTTCCATTAAGGGGGCATTATGGTAGAAATTTAGTTTCTTATGTATAAAGATGGAGACTTAGAGGAATCGTGGGGGATTATTTCATGGACATCAGTAGTGGGACTTCTTGAATCTTGTGTTTTAAGTTTAGAGCTTGGTATTATAATTCTCAACCTAAAGCTATCTGCAAAAAGGTGAGATAATCATCACCATTAGAGTGCTTTATACCATTGCAGTGAAACACTTGGTATATCCCCCGACATTACCCTTATTATTTAAAGGCTTTGAGTTTATGTAGGCATGTGCTGTTCATTAATGAGGGCATTCTTGGTAGTACGAGATCGTTTTGAGCACTTTAATTACTACTCCCTCCGTCCCTAAAACAAAGTCCCACTTTCCGAAAATGGAAGTCCCTAAATTAAAGTCCCACTTCCTTAACTTCCTTATTTGGTAAACAAATCTATATCAAACAGTGTCAAACAGTGTCAAAACAGGGTCAAACAGTGTCGCTACAGTGTGAAGTCAAATTCATTTCCTTAATATGTGTGAAGTCAAACTAGGACATTGATTTAGGGACGGAGGGAGTATTATTGGTTCGTGTACTTTTATCACAAGTTACTTACATTAAAGGCCTGAGGGCCTGAGCCTCACTTGTCTATACAATTGGAATTTTAAAACTTTAGAAGTGTATATTTGAAAAAGTTGATTACAGATAACTTCACCGACTGGTAGGACATAAAGAGGTAAATAAATATTATTTTTTGGGTTCTCTAGAACTCTGGAAGTCCATAACTCAGATGACCTCAGCAATGCTGCTCTCAACTAATGCAAGAAAAAGCCAAGCATCTGTTCAACAAAAGTAGAACTTCACGAATAAAACGAAAACATTGCTTAAAAGAGGAACACCTAAATATCTTGTGGAAACTTGTGAGGACCAAGAGAAGTGTTTAATAAGCTAATGATATATGTATAACTGTTCTGTTACGATTATGATTGATCGGGATAAGCGGACACTGCAGAAAACACCTTATGGTAAAAATAAAAAGAACAAAGGAACATAATCACTTAGAGCTTAGTATACATATTTGTTTTGAATCCAGCGAATACCTTATGATTTTATCATTAGTAGCTTTTTTTTGAAGTATTATCACTAGTAGCTTAGTATACATATTTGTTGACTATTTGAAAATCATTATCTTTTCCTCCATCTGAGAAACATATCCTCCTTTCTCAATGTTTTAAGACACCAACATCTGGCATTTGGCATTATTTATTTTCCCAAAAACTTCTGCTTTCATGTTTCACCGTTTTCACAGGTGAAAGGGCTATACAGAGGAGCAACATCTTCTTTTGTTGGGATGGCTTTTGAAAGCTCCTTTGCTTTTGGCATTTATTCACAGACCAAAAGGTTCCTTCAGGTTGTTCTACGTTATAATCCAGACAACCTTATTGGCTGTTCCTACTCACCTACTTTTCTTGAATCCAGCAGTTTGGGATATTGAATAAACCTTTTTCCTTTTAAATTTGAAGGGAGAAGTTGGTGATGGTAAGCCAAAGCCTCATGTAATTGTTCCATCAGCGGCATTTGCTGGAGGTATTATCAGCTTCATACTTTGCCCCTCAGAGCTGCTTAAGGTAAGCTATTCGCATGAGTTCCTTCCATCCAGTTTGTTAAATTTGGCTCAACTCACCCAAAAGGATTGTTAAGAGACGAGTTTTACCTCAGACATGTATATTTGCCTAAAATCTAGTAGACAACCATTGTCATGTGAGATACTCAACACATCACATAAATGGGTCTAAACCGAGTCCAAACAGGCTGCACAACCCATCAACTCTGTGGGCATCCCATAAACCACTATCGAATTAGGTAGTGATGCAATGTCAATTTAGGCCTTGGTAATTCCAAAACGATTCTCTAATAGAGTAGTAGATGAGGTACACCTCACTCATATTATCATATACTTCCTCCGTTCTTTTTTAGTTGCAACATTCCCCTTTTGACCGTCATTATATCTAATTCTGTATTAATAAAAAAAATAAAAGTCAGATTATGAATCTTAGTAGTGAGATGAATTCAACAATATTTTTCAAAAAAGTAATTCACATACATTAATAAATAAAATGTAGTCAAAGTAGAGTAGATGAATAGTGTATAAATTGCAATGTTGCAACTAATACGATGCAGAGGATAGTATTAAGGTCCAAACCAGTGGAATACTAATATTGCAGCAGTGCCATTGTATTAAAATTATCTGCTCCAGTGTAGGATGCAAATTCAGGGCATTGATTCTCTTCTACCAAACTCAGCCAGATACAGTGGTCCTCTTGAATGTGCGATTGGAACTGTAAAAACTGAAGGGGTAATCTGTAACCAAACACTTTCTCAAAACTGTTTTGCCATCTGATTAATTTGAATCTGACATTATACATTCTGACTCCTCAGATGACCGGCATATTTAGAGGAGGCTTTGCTACCTTGTTAAGAGAATCTGTGGGAAATGCTGTTTTCTTTAGCACATATGAGTATGTACGTTATCAGATGCGTCTTCAACTGAAAGGGGCTTCATCTGAGTCAAATCAATTGGTTGATGTGGGAGTTGGAATAATTAGTGGTGGCCTTGGTGGTATAACGGTGTGTATTCTTTTTGTAGTTTATTATTAATAACTATGGAAACTCAATACCCTACCTGATTGATCTGATTTTTATTTCCTTTCTCATCAGTGCTGGTGTACTATTCTGCCATTGGATGTTGCAAAAACTATAATCCAAACAACCCCTGATAAAAACCATACACGGAATCCTTTTCAGATTTTACAAACGGTACTTATCCTTGCCTTGTAGATTTCCATTTTTGGACATGGTTTAAATTCAGAATCCATGAATGTTTCTTTGTGTCAAGATTTACAGGCGATCTGGCATTCGAGGATGCTATACAGGTCTAGGCCCTACTCTGGTTAGGGCTTTCCCAGCTAATGCTGCGGCCATAGTTACATGGGAGCTATCTGCAAAGATTTTAGGGATGAGGCGTGATTAATGAGAAATTGATTGCCAACTCTTTTTAGGTATTTCTTTGATACGACTAAGGTTGTAGACTTGGAGCATGATGACATTCAACATTGACAACTGCACCACAATTGTTAAACTAATCTGACATGAAATTTTTCATGCTTCTTAATCAGCATCACAACAAAGTATCTTCTGTCAAAAGAACTGAAGTTAATCAATGCCATTGTATGGGCTGTTTTATTTATTTAATTTTTTGTTCGTGCAGGATTCTTTTTAGCCTTTTGTCATCTGAAGGTGTGGTTTGGTTTGATTTTCCATCAGAAGGTGAGGAATTGTCAGCATGATATTGTGTTTGTGTACCATGCATTCTTTGCCGTGGATGGTAGGTCTCAAAAGGCTTTTGCAGTACATGAAAATGTGAATTGGTCTCCTGAAATTATTGGAACAGTTGGATATTTACTCTTGAAGGCTTCTTGTATAAAAGCTATTAAATGCGATTTCAAAGAAGTTAGACAAATTTGATTACAAGGTAATGGAAAACCTTGAGTATGCCATAAAATTTGGTTTGCTGTTGTGTTTTTTTAATCTATGTATATGCTGTGCATGCATCTATATGCTGTTTGGTAAGGATTATTCGACTGAAATGACTGAATCGGTGGGGTTCTCTGGAAGGAAAAACATTTGGTGCAGATAATTACAGCCAAATAAGTAATACAATTATACCAAATTTCTTAAACTCTGCTTTCTCTGACAAGTAGAATAAGCAGAACAAGACGATTGGTGCTTCCAAACAGGGCCTAAAACTCTGATATAGACGGAGTTATAAACAATGGTCACACACACGCGCCCGGAGTGAAATAGAAGTTTATTTAATTAATGATTAAGAACTTGCTCCATGTACATGTAAGGTACCTTTAAGTTTTGTGTGTGAAAAATTATGTAAAAAATATGCTTACAATTGGTACCAACTACCAAGTGCTGGTGTTCACCAAGTTTCATGAACATTTTTCTATTCAGGAATACAATATTTTGAGGTTCTATACTAAGTCTTTCAGATGTCCAAGGTTGAATTCAAATTGAAGTTCAACTGTTAAAGATACTAGAATGGAAGGGAAGATGCCGACTAAATTGTTTCAGGGTGCCCCTGATGCCAGTATTTCAAAGGTACATGTCTCTTGCTCTCATCTTTACTTATTACTATTTACTATATCATGGCTACTTTGAGGTTAATATTTTGTAATGCACGTTACTTTGTTAGTCTATGATGACACTGGTAAGTATTAATATAAAGGGGTTTAATGCACTAAACCCCCATGTGAAATATAAATTTGGCACATTTGCCTCTTGTTATTTAAAAAATGCATCAAACCTTCCTGTGTTATAGTTATGCAACAAACTTAATTGTCAAATATAATTTAGAAATCTTAACAAAACTACTTGCATATTCAATCATATTATTAATATAAGGGAGTGTTTGCGATTGCTTCTACTTTAAAAAAGTGATTTTTGAAGTGATTTTGGAGATAATGCTTAATGGTAAAAGTTAATAGTGTTTGATAAAATAAGTGATTTTTGAGTAATAGGAAAAGTGAAAAGCACTTTAAAGCACCTCTCAACTTGTCTCCAGCTTTTAACTTTTAAGTGCTTAATTTAAGTAGAAACTGTCACTTCAAAACACTCATTTCAGCTTTTGTTAAGCCAGAAGCTGAAAAGGACTTTTTTAATCTTTTGCAAACACTCCCCAACTGATTTCAAAATTATAAAATTTGTTCTCTGAGGGGATTTTGCGCATAATAATTATAACAGAAGGGGGTTTGACGCATTTTTTAAATCATATGGGGCTAATGCGTTGAATTTATATATCATGAGGGGGTATGGTGCATTAAACCCAATATAAAGCTGGGCACATCTTAAGATCTATGTGCTGGGTAATGTTGATGACGATAGGGGTGGGTTAGGTTCAAACAGTTCGGTTTTCACCTAAAATCAAATGCTGAACCAAAGTAAAAAGTTCGCTTTAGTTCGGTTCGGTTTTATATTCAAAAATTTGGAACCACGGTTTGTTCAGTTCGGTTTATTTTGTTTTGGTTTCGGTTTTTTCGGTTTTTGCCACAATTTTTTTGTTGATTAAAAAAAGTAATTGGAAAACAAAAACAAAAAATAAACTACATCAAACTGTTATTAAAAAAGAGAAAAGAAACAAATGCACTCCCAAGCAATCAAGTATAGAGAGTACGTGTATACTAATTTAAATATTTTCTAAATTAATTAAACACATGATCTATTTGTGATTATATATAGTATATTCGCAAGTTAAATTTTATTTGTAAATGTCGTGTCCACTAATTCATTTTCTTTTTTACTAAAAGACTTTTCTTGATACTAAATAACTTATTCTACTTTCTTTTTAGACAAAGATATTTATGCTATAAAGTTTCATGTTTTCGACTGTTGTTTAAATTATAGTTTAGATTAATACATATTTGTTCAATATAAAAACTTATATGATAACAAACTTACATAACAAATAATATATCAACAAAATATCATTGTCATGCAACAACAAGCAACATGTAAATTACGATTTAAAATATCAACATATTAATATTATAGCAATCGACTTAAGTGTATGTACAAGTGTTTCACTTAATTAAACCATAAATATTAAATGTCAATATTCATAATAAATCTAGTATCAAACATTAATTTTCTAGAATTAAGAATTAAGAACTAAACAAAATATTATACTTGATGATTAATAAATAAAGTAGCAAGTTTTAAAATGTTCGGTTCGGCTTTGAGATATGAAAACCAAAACCGAAACCAAACAACTATGGTTCGGTTCGGTTTTTTGAGTTCGGTTTTGGATGTCTTGCGGTTCGGTTGTCTTGGTTGTGGTTAGAGTTTTTTCGATCCGGTTTTCGGTTTCACCGACCCACCTCTAGATGACGACATGCAATGGAGCAAAGTAATAATATGTTGTTGCTTTTTGGTAATGTTTTTCTTTTCATTTTTTCTTGTTTTCCCCATATTGAGAGCTTGTACAGAAAACACATTTAGTTGGTCTGTGTGTGTTTTATAGTTTTTGAAATAAAGCAACATGACTCCGAAAATTATAGGATGCATGATCTTTCTTTACTTTCTTACATGTGATTTTTATTGACACTATTTCTAACACATTTAGAACTGCCGTAAGAAATCACATAGATTAACAATATCATAATAATTAATATATCCGTAAATCTTATACTCCCTCCGGTCCAAGGTTCGAAATTGCTTATTGCGTAGTCGTGACGTTTTTTTAAATATTGCAAATTGCGTAAGCCTCATTGCGCAACAAGGCGTATGCCCACGGCCGGTCCTGAGGAAATGAAGGCCCTGTGCAACAAAAATAATTGGGTCTTCTTTTCAAAGTTTCAACACAAGTTAAAAAAAACGAACCGAAACCGCACCGACTCAAACGAGACCTGAAAGTCGGGACTCGAACACAAATCGGTTTAATGAAGGTTTTTTGAGTTATAAAATTGGTTCAAACCGAACCGAACCGATTTTTATTAAGAGCTATTTTTAATTATTTATTTTGTAGAACACATTGGTAATATAAAGCTTGTACGTCCTTATTTCAACAATTCGTTGATTCGGTCCAGTGGGTTGATGTTTCGAGATCAGCGCGCATGATTTTATTTTCACCTGGGTTCGAATCCCGCATGCCTCGCTTCTTATCTTTTTAGTTTCTAAAGCTTAAGATTCCCACACTGGTGAAAACGGATGATTTAGTACTCCTTTGTTCCTATATATACGCTCCACCTTTAAGTAATACTACTCCCTCCGTCCCAAATTGTTTTGCAAAGTCAACTTTTTTTGGTCAACCAATAAAAAAAGACAATGCTCCCTATCGATAATTAATTCCATTTTTAATAATTAAAATTTATATATTCAGAAACTATATTAATATCTCTTCAAAGTTCAAAGTTGTAAATTCCAAATTAGAATATTATTAAAAATTGACATCCTAATTAAGCAAATAAAATGAAATTGTTTGACCAAGAAAAGTCAAATTTGCAAATCAATTTGGGACGAAGGTAGTAGTATATTACTACAAAAAAAATTGGGTCCTTCCAATTTTTTAGGCCCTGTGCGGTTGGACACCCTACACACCCTCAGCGCCGGTCCTGCGTATGCCTTATGCGTAATATATATATATAAACATAATAAAAAATAAACATATTTGTCAAAAGTCATCAAATGTTATATTAAAACAAACCATAAGAGGCCATAGTCCTAGCAAAGTAATATGTTCAAACTTCAAAGTACCATAGAATACCAAAACTTTCTGAATCGTTTTAAAAAAATCTAAGATATGAGAATTTAAATTATTTAGATTGATCTACTCAAAAATCCAATCAATAACGAGTGGTTTGAAATAGGGATCATAACATCAATTATAAAAAATTAAAAATGGGTCGGGTGGGCCCAAATAATACCCTTACACAGTCACACCCTGACCATCTCCTAATGCGTACGCCTCAGAGCGCCTTATTGCGTATGCAATATTGCGTGCGCCTCAGTGCTATATTGCGTACGCCACACTCCCAACGCCATATGCAATGCCTTTTACGCCATAGTCTAGGATTAGCTGAGGTGCGCCATGAGGTGCAATTGCATTGCGCAATTACAAACAATGCTCCGGTCCTAAATAAACTTCACACTTTCCTTTTTGGGTAGGTCCAAAATAAACTTCACACTTCTTCTCCCTTCCTTATTTGGCAAATTATCTACATCAAAACAGTGCAAAACAGTGCCAAACAGTGTCACAACAGTGTATTCTACAGTAAAGTCAAGTTTATTTCCTTAATTTGTGTGAAGTCAAAGTGTGAAGTTTATTTAGGAGTACAAAACATGCCTTCCAAACATGTTATATATTTTATAAATCCGGAAATAAAATAAAATAAAGCATAAACATTTTTTTAAAGTAGGAAACGTTACCGAACAACCCTGGTTTGTGTATGTGAGATCCTAAAGCAGCATTGATAATAAAATATACCCCCTCCATGTTCCAAAAATGAGAAGTCATTTAATTTTTTAACATTTTTTCGTTGGTTTAACTAAATTGATCCTATTTAATTTTTTCTAACTCCTTTTGTCAAATTACATAACAAATTCTTCATTTGCGAACATAAAGCATTTGAAACTTGTCTATTTTGGAATGGGAAGGAGTGGTAATTGAATTAGCAAACCAGATATAAAGGCAGCAATTTGTATCTCAAGAAATTGACAGAAGATAGAGAGCATTCATGAAATTATACTGTTAATCTATGTGCTCTACAAGTTATTATAATCTTCTATGAGTACAACCAGGCAGGTTGTTTGTCTCCAGTTGGTACTATATATCTTCAGCTTGACCCTTCTCCATGAGAATCATATGTAACTCGACGCCGGCGCTCATTATGACCTGCCAAACGTCTCCTGCAACTCCTCTTAGCATTGTCAAACTGCTCTAATTCATGAAACCTGAATGTGTATAGAATATAGACAATGAAGAATAAGAAGTCAAACCTGACCTCATATTCTAACATTAGGGTTGTGTTTGGACGTTGAAAAATTCCAAGGAGTATGAAACAAAATGACATGGACGTTTTTTTTGTGTGTTTTGGCATTATCTTGAAAACCCCAAGAGAAACTAAAATATGATTAATTCCTTAAAATTGTTCATACCTTTAGATAATTAGATTTCAGTTTTAATATATAAAGTGCACAAATGTAAAATAGATTTATTTGGTTTTATCCTATCTTTTATTTTCCTCTGCATTTTTCCTCCATGATATCCTTGTATTTTCCGAGTTCCAAATAGACCCTAGGGGGAAAGAGATTGGAGAAATTTGGGAAAGGGTGGAATTTGAGGCCATATTTTAGAGTTGAGTTTTGAAGGGGGTTGGAGGGTTAGGGGATGGATGGATTAATTTTCATTGATTATTTTTCTTTATGATGACTTTTTTCAAATCAAAGATATAAAATGATAAATTATTATATCTAGAAAACTCAATATTATAGAATTATCTTAATTAATAAGTGACCAATAACCCCTTTTGTCTTCCCCTGTGAAATTTAACTCCTTAACTTATCCTATAGACTTGAAACAAACTATGGAAACGGCAAATAATTTTAAACTTTGTTCATTGATCATTTTCTTATATCTATGGATACAATTATAACCTCAACTCGGAACTCTAAATGGTCGGAATTGTATGTTTAGAATGGTATTCAAAGACATGGTAGAGAATCAGACAAGAAATTAGGTATCTTAACCTGCTGCATTGCTGACAGAAGCGCTGATGGACTCCATTGATAAGCACTGATGGAGCCTTTGCGTGAATCTCACAGGCCTTATGGCGACGGTGGTACGGCTTTGCATTTTTCATGTCCGCCCCGCAGTCATCCACCTGACAGAACAGCTGCGCCGCCACTTTGCTTCCGGACTGACTCAATGCTCTCCTCTTTCTGTTCTCTTCTTCAACATCTTCATCATCTTCTTCTGCCAACACAGTTTCATCTATGCTTCTTTTTCCATCTGATTTACTTGTTTCCATTTCTTTGGTGGTAAATGAATTTCGGCAGTGACTCATGCAGAAGATAAGTGAAGAAGATGGAACAAAGGGAAGAAACTCAAGAACAGAAGAAAACTAAAGTGAAGAATATATGAGGACCACTGGCATCCATACTATTCGTAATTGGGGTCTCTAATAGTGGAAAATTGGCTTTGAGGTTTTTAAGATACACCCCAACTAATTGAACAATCAGTCATGAGTCTTAGTCTCGCTACAAGCGGCAGTGTGGATGATATAATCTTAACTAGGGGGGACTGACAATATTAGAGACTCCCTTTGTTTTTGAGAATATTTTCTTATGTGGAAAATATTTTCTGATTATCCTACACTTGACGTCATTTGGAGTTCTAGGGCGAGAATTTTGGGGCCAGGATTAGTACATTGAAGGTTAAAACTTGGCGCTAATAAATTCGTAGTCTGTCTGGTAACATTAAAATTAGCTGCATGTGCTAAATATTCTGAAATTGCTGAAGTTGTGAATTAAATGATTGAATCTCGTGACATATAAATTAATAAAATTTAACATATTTTGTGAGTAAAATAAAGACAAAATTATATAAAATTGCTAAAACAGTCTTCTTCTACTACCAGGCATAAAAATATTTCCAGCGTTGTTTTTATTATTATATAATTCACCATGCAAATTCAAAATTTTGGTATTTGGTAAGCAAAAAAGGTTACATGACCATATCCACACGGGTAGCTCAGTTGGTTGAGTGGTGGAAATTTGGATCAGGGCAACCATGGTTCGAATCCCGCACCGACCTTGTAGAGGTTACAACCTCTGAAATGGGTTGGACCTCTAGCGCGCACGGGTATATGGGCCTACTGCTATTTCGCTGACCGAGTCACCGTGATTTACATCCTCTCACTTGTCGGGTCGAGGTGTAGGGGGCTCCGGGTGTGAGAGATTCCACCTTTTTTGATGAGGTTACCTAACCACAATTAAGTTGTTTAAAAAAAGACAGCTGTAAAATACTTAAAATCTGAATAGTGAATTGTACAAAAGGATAGGTGGAGGTGAGCTGAAAGTACTTGAAATCTTGAATGTGATAGGTGATAGATGTTGGGAACTTCTCTTATTGGTCATAGCTTTCTACACAAACCTCAAACTTTAATGTGAGTACGTGACAATGCTATTATTATATGGGAGAGCAAAATGTGACCATCATCAATACCATAGTACAAGAGTCATAGAAGAGCATTGATGATGAACTGTCTGTCTACTAAGATTTTCTTTTGGTTGGGCATCCTAAGTATTACAGTCCCACTAGGGGCCACCAACTTTTCCTTTGGGAATGCAATTAGTTGGACACCTGTCATCAACTACACAATCAGGACATTAGTATGGAAAAGAGTTAGGTTGAGCTCATGCTATATAATACTACCTCCGTCTCATAAAATAGGTCTCACTTTAATTTGGATCGGAGTTTAAGAAAGTGAGAATAAAGTGGAAATGTATGGTTGTGATTGAGTAAGAAAAAAGTAAATTAATGTTAGCCACACAAAACTTTCCAAAAAGGAAAATGAGAACAATTTTTTGGGACGACCCAAAAAGGAAAGTGAGACTTATTTTATGGGATGGAGGGAGTAATTATGTATGTACCTATAATAATAATGTATATAAACGTCAATTTTTTTTGTATCTTGGTTGTTGCTAAATATTACTTGACTTGTATAAAAGTGAAGACTCTGAAATCTAACCACTTTGGGGTTTAGTTTTATTAACTATAGTACTACTTAGTTACATCTGTTCATAACCATCATCATCAGCATTGAGATTTCATCCTTCCGAAGCCATCATTATCTTGCTCATTTTGTGCAGAACTATTCCTCTCTGGCTTTCTTTTAGGGGTTGTGTGTGTTAATTAATACAGAAAATAAACTATGCTTAGTGAAACGATTAAGAACAGGGTTATACAGTAGACTTAAATGTCCTCTTAATGACGTCTACTAATATTAGGAAGAGTCAAATAGAAGGATCTATTTGACCCTTCCACCATTTATAATCATCACTTAAGCTTCTAATATAAGCACGCTTAGTTTAAAAAGCAGATCAATCTGGCCTTTAGCCGGTTTTGGACCTGTAATCACATGTTTTTATATTAAAAACTTTAATTTTTTTTTTAATAAAATTCAAAAAATAAAATAAAAATGAACTGTGGACAAATTTAAAATGTCAAAGTTTATACTACGTATTTTTTTTCACTTTTGGACTTATTTGTATAATCTACATCTTTTTAAAAGTTATTGCATTTTAATTTTAAATTTTTTACACTTTCACTTTTTTTTTATTTTATGTTTTTTTTAATTTTATTTTAACATTTTGAAATTGTTTATCTATGTCTGAAATTGTTTATCTATTATTTATACTATTTTTATATTATTATGACATTAATTTTCAAATTTATATGATTTTTATAAAATTATCAATTGTTATAATTAATGTTTTTTTAAAGGGGTATTTTGAGTTTGCACCCCATTTTATTGTCTAAATTAGTCTTTTCACCCCATTTTTGAAATCTTTAGTATTTGCACCCCAACCTCGTATGAAAAAACTAAAATGCTCCTCAATTAACAATTTTGTTGGCCTTCAACATAATCCTGATTGAGGGGCATTTTTGTCTTTTCATACGAGGTTGGGATGCAAATACTAATGATTTCAAAAACAAGGTGCAAAGTCTAATTTGGATAATAAAATTGGGTGCGAACTCAAATTATCCCTTTTGTAAATCACCTGTAATAGCATGTTAAAGTGGCTTAATTGTTTGTCTTAATGTGTTATTGAAGTAAACATCCTTACTTCATAAGTAGTACTCCCTTCGTAGGCATTCCTATTTTATTTTCCAAATAGGTTTGACATACAATTTAAGATAATGAGTATTGTGTGGTGGAGAGTTGTGCAGAGGAGAGAGAAATGTGTAAGAAATCTTGTGAACCACAAATTCTTTACTAAAAAGAGAAAGTGAAAATTTTAATCGGAAGGGATGAAAAAGGAAACTTGAAAGTTTTAATAGAGATGAAGGGAGTACTTTTAGTATAGAAATTTAAGTGATGTATCCAATAGTGATGTACTTTATTTCTGTTTTTGGTCCAATGATTAATTAAACTCGTCCAATCATGTCTGCAGACACATGCTATTAATTTTGTCAAATTGATGCGCGTCCTGCGCCAAATTGCTTTGAATTTGGAGTTAGCAATACGAATTGATTTGGAGCAATGTGAGGAACGTTTTTTTTATTGTCGTGAAAGATTGAGAATTCATTGGAATGGTACAAGAGTGGGGTCCTGGCCTATTCTTTCTCAATTAGTAAGTGGGGTCATCTACTCATCTCTTCGCCCATAGTAACAAACCCTTATTATTGTTAGTATTATTATTGTAATTATTATTAATTATTAATATATATATATATATATATATATATATATATATATATATATATATACACACACACACACACGGGGAACGGGGCGGGGATGGTGCGGGGGGTGCATAACCCATCACCAGCCCCATATTTAAGCAAGGAGGAAATAATTCCCCCACCCCACCACCCGCCCCAACTTCCCCCACGGGTGGTTCCCCACGGGGCCCCACCCCCATTGCCATCCTTAGTAAAATTTCAAATTCTTCTTTTCAATGCACCAATCCACATTTTTAAGTTAGACACGCACCCGCAGTGATGAGAAAATTGGACCAAGTGATCAAGGTTCGAAGTCCGCAGCGGCCGTGTGGAGGTTACAGAACCTGAAATAAGGTTGTACCCTGGTACGCACGTGTATAAGACCTACCGTGATTTTGCTGACTGAGTCACCATGATTAACTCCTCCACCATCCTGTCGGGTCGGGGTGGGGGCTCCTGGGGTCGGAGATTCCACCTTTTGGACCAAGTTACACACACGCTATGAATGACCATGCTGATAAGGGTTCTTAATATCTTTTTTTTTTATGGTGGGTTCTTAATATCTCAGGCTAAAAGGATTATCATAAGAGTTCTTAATATTTTATGATAATCCTTTTAGCGTGCGAAGTCATTTAAAAAAAACATTTTAAAATAAGAATTTCTAATATCTATCTTTCACTTTTAATTTTTTTATAATCAATTGTTAATATTGACAAGGTGGCATTCTTGTTTTATTTATGATCAAATACAAAAAAGTTTCATTTAGTTCAGTTAGGGATGGACCCGGACCGGTCCGGTTCCGGGCCGGGCCCGGACGGGCTTTTTTTGCAAAATGTTGGGCCCGGAACCGGCCCGGGTTGATACCGGGTCCGGGCCCAACCGGCCCGGGCCCGGGTCAAGTTCATATTTTTGGTTTCTAATTAACACCCGAGCTCGGCCCGCCCGACCCGCCCAAACGGGCTAAAAACCTGGAACCGGCCAACTGGTCCCGGTCCGGTCTGGGCTCAAACAGTAACGGGTTGGTTCTGGGTCGGGCTGGCCCGGTTTAGTCCATCTCTAAGTTCAGTATGAGTATGAAATATGAATATGACTCATGTGAATATTAATGGATGATTACAATTAATGAAAAGTAAAGATTAAAAGTTCTCATAATAAGAATTTTATTTTATAAAGGGTTCTCACTGGAACCTTCCTTGTTCTTATTTTAAAAGGGTTCTCAATACAACCCTCGGAATATGGAGTAGTTATGTCTCCCCAAAATAGGAGTATAATATTATATTCCTAAATAGTTTTTCAAGAGTAAATTTGTGTCATGCTAAAATCAAATTGTCATTTTGACATTATCACATATTCAAGCATGACCTTGATCATTCCTATTTAGGAGTTCTCATAATTTGAACTATGACATTGTATGTACTTAGACTTAGGGCAGTTTGTATTCATTTATATGATTTTTCATCATTTTGTTATTTCCATTTACTTCATTTGAAACTTACTGCTCGTTTGGTAGCCTACTAGCCTATTACAGTATTAGCCTTATCTTTCAATTTTTAATCTAACACTAAACTTTTAATGCCACATGTTGGACTTCGTAATAATAAAAACAAAGCACCTAAATTCATTTATACGGAGTACATATTTTTATTCATAACATATAGAGGTAAACAAAAAACTAAAACCCAAAATGGACTGACAAATTAATCAAAACCGAACCGATTAATTTCAAATCGACTAAAACCAAAATTGACCAAAATCGATTGAAATCGACTAATTATTGACGGATTGGTTTATGGTTTATACTTCCGGGCTAATATCGCCTGGCAAAAACCGGCCAAAACGTGTTAAAATCAACCAAAATGATACAAATCGAGTGAAACTTACTCAAGTTTATGGCCTGACTCTCAATTTCACTTGTTCTAAAAGTTGTTAAAATCGATCGACAAAAAAACCGAACCAATTAAGAAGACCTAGATTAGAAGAGTCAGAAGTGATATACTTCTTGAGTAGGATGAGAATGACCTTGGAGAGAGCAAAGTAGAAGTGCCGAATATTCGTATGAAGGATTGATCCTTTTTCACCTTTTAATCCTTTTATCGTTTTATCTTCTTTATCTTTTTATGTTCTTTTTATCAATATATCCTTTTTATCTTTTTTTTCATCCTTTTTTATCATTTCCATCTATCTTATATTTACCTTTATTTTATCTCTTTCTTACCTTTTTTTAATCTTACCTTATCGCTTTATGTTTCAATTCTTATCTTTTTAGCTCCGATTTCATGTGTTGGTTCATGTTAGTCTTGTGATCCCAAATTATTTTGTGACTAAGACCTGAATTAGTGTTGTTGTTATATTTATGATTAAAAGTTTATAAGTTTGATATTACATTTTGTATTTCTCAGCGGTTTATGGATGATACACGATAATGGTTAAATAATTTTATTTATTAACGGTTAATTGGTAACGTACAAGAGTGCATTGCACCGATATGATATTATCCGTTCTTATATTGGTTTTTGAAAAAATTCTAGAACCGATATGATATTGGATTAATGGTTCTTCAAATGATTCCCAATGTTCATTCAAAGAATCGAACTTATCACATTCCTAATTTTTTCTTCGTAAGAAGATGAAAAAGTAAAAAAAAAAACTTTTAAGTTTTTATTTAAGTTAATCTTGAGTATCGGTATTGGTGTAGAATCTTCTTATTTAAATTTAATTTATCGTGAAATGATAAAATTAAGTTTTAATTTGCAAATTGTACATATCGAGACCATTCTCGCACCAACCTCCACACCCGGTACTAGGGCAAGCCCGATTAACTAGTTCATGATTGCAAGTGAATAATTAGTCGGATACGATCTGATAGTGGAATTGGGTTCATGCGTAATTGCGTACTTGTGACGAGTAGAAGATAAAGAAAAAGTTTAAGAAAATTAATGTATTAACAATGAGTTTTAAAAATCTACAAGAATCCATGGAGTTTTAAAAATTAATAAGAATGAATGAAAGTTTGAATTCACCAAAACTTTTAAAAATCTACTATAATACACTTAAACTTTTAAAATTTATGGAGTTTTAAAATTTTTTCATTAGTTTCTTTTACAACACATTCTTTAAAAATAAAGTAAAAAGTTTTCAAGAAAAGAACTCAGACATGCGTTGATAGAAGGATTAAGAAATTGAAATAAATACAGTAATCTAAAAGGGACACGACTCACACGAGACATCATATCTCTTTGCACGTAAGCGGTCAATGATCGTTTGAAAACAACGTATAAGAATATAATATCAATATTTGTGGTAATAAACAATCTAAAAAAGTGTGGACCGAATATTAGGTTTGTAGAGTCTAGAACATGTGTGTCATTTTAATGTTTTAGTCCAATAGTACTAAATATGTATTCCCTCCGATTCTCAAAGAGCTTCATAGTTTAACTTCACACAAATTAAGAAAATTAATTTGACTTTACCGTGGAGTGCACTGTTTGACACTATTTGACACCGTTTGACACTGTTTTGCATTATTTTGGTCTAGATAATTTGCCAAATATGGAAATAAGAAGAAGTGTGAAGTTAATTTCGGGACTTCCGGAAAAGGAAAGTGGGAAGTTGTTTGAGAACCGGAGAGAGTAGTAATTAAGAGGCAAGTGCAATAACGAAGGTAAATTATATGTAGTGTCACGAGTAAAATCAATAATATCCTTGATTCAAAGGTTAATATTCCTTAAGATAAGCATATGAAATTAAAAAAATGCAATGGCGAGATAGATGTTACTTGGATCGAGTTTGGGGGTAATGGGGTGTGATGATAAAGATCTCCCGGTGATAGTAATCTCATATTTGTACTCAAAAAAAGGATGACACCCCATCCCTGAGGCCCTCCAACACCGACCAGACAGTTAGATGAGAGGATGTAAATTGGACTTTAATCACAAGTTGACAGATAGAAATCTTTATCATTTTAGTCTTCATGCCTTTTAGTATAGTAACCTCTCATCACAGTTGGCAGGATTTGAACTCGAGACTTATCCCTTGTGGTACCCTCTATCCAGGGGCGGAGCTAGGGGTGCCCAGGTTAGGCCCTGACCCACCCACATTTAAAAAATGTCAATATTTTTGGTGTAAAAAATTTCGTGTAAATTTTTTCCCAATAATATTCTTTGTACCGGCCCAGTTTGGCCCAGTGTCCTGGCTCCGCCCCTACCTCTATCTACACATCATATTTGTACTCATAGACATATAACAATATATGAAGTTCAGATCAAACTTGTGTCTCGATGCTGACATTTCCATTTGACATTTATGCCTCTATAATAAGGGAAATTAATACATATGAAAGTATGATCTCATCATTTTGGAATAATGTTATTATTTCTCAAATATTAATAACAAGTTTATATTTATAATAAATTATAAATAACAACAATAATAGTATTAAATAATAACAATAACCACAATAACTTTGATAATTATATTACTGATTGTAAAAATATACACATATATATAATCAATAATAATAGTAAAAGTAATAAATCATGTTTGATTTTTTCTGATATGTTGTGTATCTTTCTCATCTGATATGGTCTGAATCTTTTGATTTGATCTAAATTTTCTGATCTAAACTGAATAAAATTAAGAATAAGCAATACATAATAAGAATAAGATGAGTAGAACACGTCCTAACATAGAGATGCAACAAATCTTTGCGGTCACACGAGATGAATACCAGAGTAGTTTGAAGCAATCATAGTAATAACCATAATATTGATGACAATAATATTGATAATCATAAACATTTAAAATAATACGGAGCAATAATACTGGTAATAATAATTACAATAATAACAATAACAATAACAATAAAAACACAACAACAACAATAATAAAAGTAATAACTCGTGTTTGAACTTTTCTGATTTGATGTGTATTTTTCTAATATGACATGGCTGGAAGCTTTGTGATCGAGTCTGAATTTTTCATATCTGATATGATCTAATCACAATTTTTCTGATCCGATCTAATTTGAATAAAATAAAAATAGTATTAAGAAATTGGAATAAAATGAGCAAAACGGCTTCAAAGAATCACTTTCACTGTTACACAACTTGTGTCAAATTTTGCTGGGTATTGATCATTTCATTCTTAAAACCTGACATAAAATTGAATTTTTATCTTCTACCTAACGCATAAGGTAAGTATATAAAAAAATTAAAATGACAAATTAAACTTAAACATTAGAAGGAGATCACATCAATCAAGTGCATAGAATAATTAATTGAATTGTGTGCCTAAATTATATGTGTAATGAATTGAATGTTTTCCTTATGTTTTCAATTACATATGATATCATTGATATGACAATTTTGATCTAATTTTGACTGCAACTAATTTGTCAATTGCAGGGCCGTCTTTTAGGAGGTGCAATAGGTGTTTGGCACCGGGGCTCACTCATGTATGAGGCCTCCAAAAATTTAGAATGTAATATTAGTTATAAGTTTATTTTTATAGATGTTATGTATTATTCAAGATTCCAAAAGGTATATAATTTTAAGATTCTCTAATTTATGCACTTTAAACATCATAAAACTTATGTTTCATTGAATTGTCTAGCCTACATGTATTTCATTGTTCAAATTTGTAATTTTGTTGTTTTAGGGGCTTCAATTTTTCATATGGAACCGGGACCTCCAAATTGATCAGACCATGTTACAGATCAAATTATTAATCTCCAAGATAAATTGTGCGTATTCAATTGAACTAAACAAACATCACAAAATGAAATTCTCAAATTTAAGTAACAGCGCCAGCGACACCACTGGACCAATCAAGGCCACGAGCATACTATCACGGTTGGTATTTTAAATGTTAAGAGGCTTTGCTACCACAATCCTCTTTATTCTGTTTCTAAGTAATGGCAATATCAAATCTGGATGCTTCATGGTCCTCCAGGATCAAATGATCTATAAACTATGGAGGTACAAAAGGCAGTCATAGAAACGGGCTTTTAAATAGGGCCTCGATCAACAATTGGACAATTGAATTAAAATTATGAAATATCATTAGGTTGCCCTATTGGGCATTTTAAGAGCTTGTTAGAGACTTGGAGGTATAAGGATATCTACAAGATGCATGATAAAAAGAGTAGATCTTCGTAAAATGTACTCTATGACTCTCTGTATTATAGTTGGTATGTTTGACACAATTAGCCGAAAAGATATTTGTAAGTTTTTTTAGTAACTGTCAGTTTTTAGAAACTGAAAAAGATCAATGTAAAATGTAGTAGCTATTTGATAAAAAGCTGACTGTTTGATTTAATTCTGTTTGATATACAAGTTGTTGAGACTAATTAATGCTAAAAGTTATAAACTTTTCTCAGATGCTACTCATTGTAGAATCTCAAAAAAGATCATTTATATTTTCAAGAGATCTTACATATTGGCATGCCACACAGGCTACTAGAAGTTTTTAAAGACTTTTCAAACTGTACAAAGGCTAGAAGGCAGTGACTTGTGCCAACCAAATATGCACTATGTAGGTCTACTTAATTTGATTCAACATACCGAAACTTATAGGTCTAGGGAGAGAGCTAGGGGTTGTCAACATCGCCAGAGGTAACGAAGTAGGGGCCGTAGAAGGCGCAACCGTCATGGACGGCGTGGCCGGAGAATGGGTGGCGACCGAAGCGGGCGAAGAAGACATGGATCAGGAAAAAAAATTGTTATTAAAAACCCTAGAGCTCTTGATAATATGTGAGAATAATCATCGATGAGAAAGATAATGAAGATCATAATGTCATGAATAACTATATTAATTAAATGTTCACCTATTCTTGCTTCTACAAATTATCAACTTTGATAACTCGTAAAGTAGTTCATTTGATAATTACCAACATAAACTTTGACTGAATCGATTGAATCTGCTAAAACTGATGAATTCTAGCTAGTAAAATTGGCTGCCAAATTATGGTA